AGGCTGAGCGTGCCGCCGTCAAGCGGTCTGGGCTACGGTGCCCCCACCCACGCGGCTCCGCTCCCCGAACCCTAACTACATTTCTTTTCTTACCCTTCTCCCTCTACGCTGCCCACTGTAGCCGTCGTGTCGCTCGCACCTGGGAAAACTCTAATGGCGCGGAAGGTTAAAAGGTCCTTATTTGGTTTTGGTTATTGAGTGATAACCTAGGTGGACTAATTATGTTTGATATGGGATACACAGGTGATTAGTCCACAGGTACATGTGTCATGTGCGTGAGCAACATATGCCATAGAGGTGGAAATGGCTCGGAGATGTTGCAAAGCTCACACATGTGATGATAAAGGAGCTCATTGCACATGAGACATGACATTGAGTCATGTGATAAAGGTGGAGAAGATCAAGACATGACTTAGCTCGACGGACCGGTTGCAAGTCTGAAGGGCAAGTTGAGTGATGACTTGGCACCGATGGGCCGAGACAACGATGAAGAGAAAGTGAAGTCAAGATCGATGAACCAATATGATCATGTGATGATATGAAGTGGATCATATCATTGTTGATCGTGTTGGTGCATGTGTTGCATCGACATTGAAGGAGATAGAATGAAATGCGCAAGGCAAATATATAACCTAGGGCATTTTATTTCACCGGTCATAGGTGTGTAGAGAAGTTGATGACCGGGTTTAGGATAGATGGCCATACTATCAAGAGGGGCAAACTTGTTTGCATATCGGTCATCGAGTACCATTTGAGTGATCTAACTTTGCATCGTTGCTAGAATCGAGTGGCGTGACAATTTGAGTGGTTAACTCCTTGAAAAATGTTTGTGAAAAGCTAACACATGTGCACAAGGTAGTGTACACTTCGTGGCTTTGGCACATTTGCAAAGGAGAAGAAGTTGGTGAAGAAAAAGAGTTGAATGCGCTGGTCACGGGGTGACCGGACGCGTCCGACATGAGGACCGGATGCGTCCGGCATCTGTCTGAGGCGGCAGTGTTCCCGACGTGACTGGGGCCAAGCGCGGGGAGTGTAACTGGTTGACCGGACTCGGTGAAGAATAGTGACCGGACTCTGGTTGAACATTGTTCAGTGTCTGGTCCTGATAACGTGGTGGTGCGCGAAAATTTGTCTAGGGAGGACCGGACGCAGGGGCGCGTCCGGTCGGCCATGCCATACACGTCCGGTCATAGTTGAGCGGCTCTAGGAGCTCTCTAGACTCGACCGGATACTGCCCAACAGCTACTTCGTTTGAATGGGATACGTGGCGGTCAAGCAGTGACCACACTGGACGCGTCCGGTGCGCAAGACCTGCGCGTCCGGTCGTCCCGAAAAATGCCTAGTGAAGGGATAACGACTATTTTTGCCCGTGGGGTTATAAATAGAAGTGTTGGTCGGCCTTTGGTCGAGAGCTGGGCATACTAGGGCCTTGGTGGCTTATGTGGTAGTGCTTGGGAGCTCTCTAACTCATTTGAGCTTGATAATGTTCATCCGATCGGGTGAGTGAGCGATTCTAGTATGATTGCATCGTGACGTTGCATCGAGTGGCACTAGGTGGTCGTCTTACAAGCCGATGGTGCTTGTTACTTTTGGAGGTTGCCACCTCCTAGACGGCTTAGTTGTGGTCTCCGTCGAAGTCTGTAAGAAGCTTGTGCGGTGCTCTGGAGAAGAGCATTGTGAGGGGCATTGTGCTCGCCCCGCGGGAGCCGCGAAGAACAACTCTAGTAGAGCGAGACACGAAGGGCGACAAGTGGTCCGGCCGGGTCAAGTGCTAGAGCTCGTGGTAAGCACTCCACGTGGGGGAGTATGACTTGTGGGTCACCTCTAGCAAGAGGACCGGCGGCAACCTTGGAGCTTGTCTCAACGGGGACGTAGCGTGTTAGGAAGCACATGAATCTCGAGAGAAAAATCACCGTGTCAACATTGTTCTTTCCGTTGGTTTGTAATCCCCTTACACAAGCTTATAATTACTTTCATATACATTGTGCTTATGTAGTTGCTCTTATAATTAGTTAGCTTGTGTAGCTTGCTAGTTACCTTCTTGCTTGTGTAGCATAGAAGTAGTTCCCTTGCGTGGCTAATTTGGTTTGTGTAACCTTGTTATTCATATTGCTTAGTTTATGTAGCTAAGTATTTACGCTCATTAATTTAGCATTGGTTGCCTTGTTATTGAGCATTGCTAGTGAGCTTAGTAGCATTGTGCTTTTGCTTACTAGAATTGTATAGGAGCTCTTCGGTGTGCAAAATACTAGTTGCATAGGTTTGTGTGACCTTGCTCCTAGAATTGGATTGGTGAGCTCTAGCTAGCACCAGCACCTTTGTTGCCTAATTAGGATCTCTATAAGGTGCTTGTGAACTTCGATAGAGAGGTGTAATCTTGTCTAGACCGATTGTTTAATTCCATAATTGTTTTAGTTAGCCGGCGTGATTCAATTTAGAAAGGACTATTCATCTCCCTCTAGTCCGTTATCTCGACCTTTCAAAGGTGACGGCGCCGCCGTGGTACCCCTTGCCGACGCACGCGTGCGGCCAGAGCTGCGCACAGCGCCGTCGAGCGGCTCCGCGGTGGTGCCCTATGGCCCGAGGCGGAAAACGAACGGCGACGAGACCTTGCTCTTCCCGCGCGGTGTGCAGACGACGACCGGCGGTGGCGACAGGACGGCCGGGCCCTAGGTAGGAACCCCTTCTATCCGTTCTCTTCTTCTTTCTCAGCTTTTCTTCCAGCGTAGCGTCCAGTCCATGGCCGGCGGTGGCGACGGGACGACCGGGCCCTAGGTGGGAACCCCCCTCTCCATCATTGCTTCTCTCTCTAGGGTTAGAGTTAGGGTTAGGGTTGGGGTTTCTGATCCGATTTGAATAATTTCTGTCTTTATTTCTTTCCTGTTTTCTACATCAAACTGGATCTACTCACTAGAACCTGGCTCTGATACCAATGATAAATTTCTAGGACTATCTAGGCGTAGATCTAGTGGGTAAAACATAACTTAGATAAGGACTTGGTGATGTACCTCGCTGCATGCAGTGGCGGCCATGGCGCCGCCGCGACGTGGCCACTGATGTCGGAGTAGAAGTAGCATCGTAGTGGGACGCGGTCTAGTAGCGACACCAATGGAGCTTCTCATCGCTCACAGCACTGCCCTTTTGATCGGACTAGGGTTAGACTCGCTAGGGAACTGGCGGCTGCAGTGAACCTCGTACCTTACGCCCGCCCCCACCTTCCTCTTTATAGTGCTACGCAATGGGGCCCATCAGCCAGGAGAACGGTTGGGCGCCCCCAAACAGGACTCAGATCGAGGACCCAATTGACCATTGGGCCAACTTGGTGGAGATCAACCTAACAGGGGCGACACAGCCCTGGGTTCGGGTTCCATCCATCCATTCCCATCCCATCCATCGGCCGCGTCCGACTCTCAGTGGCTTTCACTTGGGGGTGTTTGGATTCAGGACTAAAGTCTAGGAAGTGTCACATGGATATCGTATGGGTTGTTCAGTTACTAATAAAAAAATAAATTACAGAATCCGTTAGTAATCCACGATTAGCACAAGCTTACTGTAGCATCACATTGTCAAATTATGGGCTAATTAGGCTTAAAAAATTTATCTCGCAAAACAATTCCAATCTATGCATTTAGTTTTATAAATAGTGTATATTGAATACTTATGTGTCCAGCGTCAATAGCACAACGACTAAAGGAGATGAAACCAAACACCCGCCGCTCTGCTCCTACAGAGCAGAGGGGTCGTTGAAGAGGTCGGCGGCGAGATCGCAACGGCCCAGGTGACGTCGCTTTTGATGCGAGAACTGGAGTACTGGACCGATCTCTGCTGCTTCTTCCGTCCTGTCTCGTGTCACGGTCGGAGCCATGACACGTTCCTGGTAATAGTCGAGTGCTGTGCAGTCCAGTGCGGGGATGAGTCATGGGTGCGCGACTTCTGTTCAGGTTCAGCTCATGTCGACGTCGTCGCCCGTCACGGACTCTTTTTTTTAAAAAAAAAGTTGTCCGTCACGGAATTGGCCGTGTAGTCTCTATCTCCCGCCAGCGGCAGCATTGGGCCGTTGACGGTTTATTTTTGTGTGTCGATGACGCCATTGACGAACGATACGTTCTGTCGGGTTGATTGATGGCCCAATAGCAACATTGATAGGCGCGGCTGCGTGGTCTGGTGATCGGGCCTAGTGGCGCCAAGGGCAGGCAGGCATCCTGATGGATGCGAGACAGCCCGTTAACAAGGACTAGGCCTAAAAGTTTTTTTTTTCGAAAGACCGACTAGGCCTAAAAGTGAAAGCATGTTGCCACAGTTGTCTCAGATCAGTCGCACACAAACAAGACTGGGCATTTTGCTCAAATAAAGCAAGAACTGGGCACGACCTCTTCAAAACCCACGACCACCGACGCGTCTCTCTCTACGACCTGGACACATGGTAAACGTGTGCCGCTGTCAAGGAAACAATCATCGTTTCTAGAACTAGAATTAATGCTCATCAGAGAGTTCGTAATCAATCGCTTTGTTTACCCAAAAGACGAGAGAAACCGCGGCACTCTGTGCACAAAAGTTCCTCGCATTTTGTTTAGTAAATTTGCAAGTTGAGATGGTGTTTGGACAAGACAGAACCGGCTTTTAACATCATCCCGGCAAGTTGAGATGGTATTCAAACGCACGAGCGCAGGTGTGTAGCAGGCGGGATATATACGTATACGCCATCAGTCATCTCACAGATCGTTTCCACTTTCCAAGCTGTCGACACTTCGCGTTCGTCTTCCGCGGCTGCTTCCTCGTGCTTCTTTTGACGCGATCGCCCCGCTCTTTCATTCAGGCCGGCCAGTGCTCCCTAGGTATAAGTTGGTAACCATGGTCCATGGATGCAACTGCATGAAATACTGCTGTGTGTTACTAGATCCCAGTTGGTCACAGGAGTTCCATTCCATCTACACCACACCTACCAGTGTCTACAGCTCATCATTACAAGGAGATCAGAGGATCGTTAGCATGATAGATAGATGGGGCAAGACGACTACCTGTCCCTGTGCCTCGCGGCGCTGGTCGCGGCGTGCCAGCAAGCCGTCGCCGACGACGTAGCGCCACCGTTACTCGCGAGGGCGGCGGCGTCCGAGCTCCCGCTCCAGTTCCGCTGCCCAGTCTGCGGCAAGGCGTTCGCGTCGTACCAAGCGCTCGGCGGCCACAAGGCGAGCCACCGCAAGCCTGCGGCGGCAGCACGCGATGGGATGGCGCCATCGTCGTCGTCATCCCAGCATCAGAAGGGAGCCGCGGAGGCGTCGTCATCGTCCGGGAGCGCCGGCGCCGGGCGGCACGTCTGCACGGTGTGCCACAGGTACTTCGCCACAGGGCAGGCGCTCGGCGGGCACAAGAGGTTCCACTACCTGCACGGCCCGTCGGTGCGGGCCTCGCTGCCGCCCAGCACTGAAGGCGCGGGCTGGCTTGACCTCAACCTGACGACCCATGTGCCGGACGTTTCATTCGACGGCGTCAGACGACGGGGCGAGGATGAGGAGGTTCAGAGCCCCTTGCCTTTGCCGGCCAAGAAGCATCGGGCGTCAAATTCTGCGTGAACTAACTGAAAAGCCATGCAAGCATACAGTCGGGAGACGAAACAGTTCGCTTGTTGGTTTCGCTTATCAGCCAGCTAATAATATTTTTTCTCACAATAAACCAGTATTAATCGAATTTATTAGCCTAGAAATCAACCAGCGAACAGATCGAATTACAGCTGTGCAGTGGCTAAATCGAATAAAGATGGTTTGGATAAAAAGTTCATAGATGCACTGCATATGGACCCTACAGACTTTCCCTAGGGCTTTGGATAGGGGACAAGTTAATGAATGTATATAGCTTTGTATTTGTACAACTTATTGGTGGCCAACAGACATTTGACTTGGCATCTTACCGAACATGGTGGTTTCATAGTTCATAAATATTTTGCCTCCGGATAAATATTTGTGCAAATACTAAGATATTTTTACCAGTTCTACGTTAAAAGTGTAAATTTAACCAAGGACTTACATCTATGAAGGGCGATTGCCTTCATTCATCTCTCACTTTTTCCCTGTCGTGGTGTGCTCCCTCAATCCCAGAATACATGTCGTCGTAGCATTTGAAAAATGTATAAAAAAAAAAAAACCAGACGCTCTTATAGCAGAGTACACCACCAGTCATCCATCACATCCTGTCGTTCACTATGAATAAGGGGGTGTTTGATTTCAAGGACTAATTTTTAGTCCTTGTCATATCAGACATTCGGATGTTAATTAGGAGGACTAAACATGAGTTAATTATAAAACTAATTACACAGATGGAGACTAATTTACGAGACGAATATATTAAGCCTAATTAATCCATAATTAGCGCATATTTACTGTAGCACCACATTGTCAAATCATGATCTAATTAGGCTTAATAGATTCGTCTCGCAAATTAGTCTCCATCTGTGTAATTAGTTGTCGGTGTTTCGGACCGGGGGTTCTCAACCAACCAGTAAATGTGAACTGCATGCCCCTAATCCCGGATGGTGATGCAAAGAGACACAAGGTTTATACTGGTTCAGGTAATCGATGCCCTACGTCCAGTCTAGGAGATCGATCTTGTATTCTTTGCACCGAAGTGCTTGTAGTAGGGGGTTACAAGCTAGGTGAGAGAGGGAGCTAGTCCCAGGTCTCGGCGTGGAGTGGTGCGGGCTGCTTGAGTCGTTGCTCTCGAGCAGTGGGGGCGTCATGTGAATTGAGTGAGTGTGTTTTTTTGGCGTGAGGGCGGGCGTGGTCTCGGTCCATAGAAACGGCCCTGTCTGCTTCCTTTTATAGCCACAAGGAGGGAGCCAGGAGTACATGAGAGAGCTACACGTGGAGCCTTAGCGAGGAAGGAAGATTCAGTATTGTGGCCTATTCCTATAGCAGCACAGTGTCGGGAATGGCAATTGATACTTGATCACTGGTGCGTCATGCCGGCCATGCCTGAGGCTGTTGAAGTCGTAGGGGTTCTCGTTGACGTTTAGTCATCATGGCCTCCTCTGTAGGTGACATGCCGTGACTTGTGAATTTTTGACTTGGTGGTTCGCCGAGGCCTGGCAGGTGTTTGTGGCCGCGCCGATGCCTAATTTGCCGAGGCCTTGGAGGTGACCTGTGTATGAGGCGGGGGCCTCGGCGGTCAGCGTCGTACCTGGTTTAGGTGGAAAAGTGCGGGACGAGTGTCCGCAGGGCATGGCAACCCCTGCACCGTCAGTAAGGGATGGTAAAAAGGAGATTTGATCGTTGTCCCATCGCTCCCTTTGAGACCGCCGGTCGTGGCTGCGAAGCGGATGCAAGCGCATTAAATGGATGGGACAACTGCCGGAGGGGCTCTCAGAGAGAGAGGGCCTCGCTGGTCGAATCAGAGACTTAGCCTCGGGCGGGCTGAATCGGAGAATCGGCCTCGGCGAGAGGGACGAGAATCGGCCTCCATCGAGAGAGGGCCTCGGTGGGAAGAATCGGAGAATCGGCCTCGGTGAGAGGGCCTCGGTGAGAATCAGCCTCGTCGAGAGGGCCTCGGTGGGGCGAATCGGAGAATCGGCCTCGGTGAGAGGGCCTCGGCGGGGTGAATCAGAGAATCGGCCGAGGCCCCATGGCTATCCTTCGGCTTTGATATTTGTATGGTCTAAGCAATCTTTTCGGCTCTTGCTTAGGGTACCCCTTTTTATGGTACTCTGGTACAGCCCGAGCCTCGGGAGTGCGAGCACTCTCCCCGAGGGTTTGTTAGCTTGCTGTTGCTCCGTCGGGATTGTGTTTTGTTCTCGTGGTTCCGGTGGGTGCGCGCGTGAGCGAGTGAGGCCACGGAGGAGTGGATTTACTCCTCCGGGGCTTTGTTCTATGAGCGAGGAGTTTATTGCGTTTGCGGGCCCTTGAGTGCGAGTCTTGGTTGGGTCCCCAAGCAAGTTTGCAAGAAGAGCCCCGAGCCTCTGCCTGCAAGCGAGAGGCGATCGGGAGTTCCCGGCTGTCCGGCCTGTTGATTCAAGAGGAGGTGGCTCCTCCTCGCCGTCGTCGTACGCTGGTGACCCGTATTCGACTGGGCCAAAGGGGTCATGTAATAGATTAGGATGTACATCATTGTACCATAACGTTTTGTGGCCATCAAGATTTGTGTATGTATGCATCTTAATCGTTTTCTATTTATTTCCCAGCCCTTGAGCTCCGCTTTTTGAACATATCACTTGCAAAAACTTCCCTGAGCCCAAGGCGCCTCTACGGCAAAAGGTGGTGAGGGAGTTGCCTTTATTAGGCGTGGCGATCTCGTGGCTCGGCCGACCTTTTGGCCTCGAGGCATACTTTCGGTCCTTAGGTTTTTTACAATTGATTTGTTAGAGTACGCGAGAGAGTTCGACGTAGGATTTTTTTTGAAAAGACGACTAAAAAACGGTGTCCCCCTATCTCGTTTTAGACAAGTCCTTTGCAAAACTTCCTTGGAGCCTAAATTGCCCCTCGGGCGAAAGGTGGTGAGGGAGTTGCCGTAGCCCAGAGGCGTTGGCTGTCTCGCGGCTCGGCCGACCTTTTGGCCTCGAGGCGAACTTTCGGTCCTTAGGTTTTTGCAATTGATTTGTCAAAGTTCGAGACAGAGTTTGGGATTTAGGGGGGAGGTCCCCCCAAGCCGGAGGGAGACTCGATCTATGAGTCGAGTCTTCCCCGATGTTATCAGAACGCCGAACCCGTCTGCGATGGGCTCGGGAGGTTCTCGAAAATTTAGAACAATTAAAGAACACTTCTTTATTGTATTTCGAGGAAAATTGTATGATGCTTGGGAATTTAAGGGTAGAAGCGACGATCATTCTATGTTCCAAGTGTTGGTGAGGATTTCGCCCTTCTCGTAGTCTAGCTTGTAGGTCCCGTGCTTTAGTACTTGGGCGGGCCACCAACTTCCAAGTCGTCGATGAGGTCACTAGCCTTCCTGGACTTGTCCTTGATGTCATCCACGCCGGCCTCGACGGTTGATGTGCTCGCCAAACAGGTGGTGCACTTTGGTATGTGGCCCCTGCATTTCTGAGACTGAATGGCATAGTCACATAGCAGTACATATCAAATGGGGTGATGAAAGAAATCGGCTCCTCAGGAGGTGGTGGGGCAGAGCTTGATGGCAGGACGTCGCTCCGTGCCACCGACGTCTTTCCCCTGCCCAGGCTTAAGCTAGACAGGTCCCCAACCAGGGACTCTGTACCAACAGCCGGGTATGGGATACCGACGGGGCGTCGCCGCATGCCGCCGGCGTTTTTCCCATGTCCAGGCTCAGGAAAGTTAGGTCCCCAACCAGGGACCTTGTGCCTGTGTTGGACATGGGTGCTTTGTGCGCCACCATGAGCTCATTGGGTGTGGGGTGGTCCACTGCGTTGCGCCTGGTGAGCGTGACAAGACCAGCGGCTCGGGCGCCCCCCGCGCCTGGGCTGCTGGTGCGTGATGTCGTCGTTGGTTGACGGGGCTCTGGGTGGGAGAAGTACCATGTCGTACTTGTATCTAGAGACATGAACTCTAGGCTCCCGAACTAGATCATCATGCCGAGATGTAGTGGTCGTATGGGGTCTGCCATCCAGAACTTGTTGGGATAATTAAGCTAACACGCAGTAACCCCTATCTGGCGGCTAATCGTCGTGTTTCGGACGGGAGGGTCCTCAACCAACCGATAAATGTGAACTGTGTGCCCTAATCACGGATGGTGATGCAAAGAGACACAAGGTTTATCTGGTTCAGCAAATCTAGGAGATCGATCTTGTATTCTTTGAAGTGCTTGTAGTAGGGGTTAAAATTTGGGTGAGAGAGGAGCTAGTCCTAGGTCTCGGCGTGGAGTGGTGCGGGCTGCTTGAGTCGTTGCTCTCGGCGGCGTGGGAGCGCGTCGTGAATTGAGTGAGTGCCTTTTTGCGCGTGAGGGGCGGCGTGGTCTCGGTCCATAAAGCGGCCTGGATGCTTCCTTTTATAGCCACAAGGAGGGAGCCAAGTACATGAGAGAGCTACACGTGGAGCCTTAGCGAGGAAGGAAGATCGAGATTGTGGCCTATTCTAGTTAAAGTGTAGGGAATGGTAATTGGTACTTGATCTTTGGTGCGTCATGCGGCCATGCCGAAGGTTATTGAAGTCGAGGGGTCCTCGTTGACGTTTAGTCGGCATGGCCTCCTCTGTCAGGGTGACATGCCGTGCCTTGTGAATTTTTGACTTGGTGGTTCCGAGGGCTGGCAGGTGTTTGACAAAGTTTATGGAAAGTGGATTTGAGTGTCCATGAGGCATGGCAACCCCTGCACCGTCGATGAAGGGATGGTAAAAGGAGATTTGACCGTTGTCCCATCGCTCCTGTTCTTTGGAGCGATCGTGGTACGACGTCCGCGGATGCATTCAGGTGCATTAAATGGATGGGACAACCTGCCAGAGGGACTGCCTCGGCGAGAATCGGCCTCGGCGAGAGGGCCTCGGCGGGGCGAATCGGAGAATCAGCCTCGGCGAGAGGGCCTCGGTGAGAATCGGCCTCGGTGAGAGGGCCTCGGCAGGGCGAATCGAAGAATCAGCCTCGGCGAGAGGGCCTCGGCGGGGCGAATCGGAGTCGGCCT